GTCGTAACGAAGAATGATACGACGTGCACAAACATACCAATCTTAAAATTAAATCACTCTTCGACCACCATGCGAATAAGAATACCGTATGGTCTGACGTCATTCGTACATTTTGATGGGTCTTGTTTAGGTGACAACCAATAATCAATAGGAGGCTCAACATCTCCGGGTATTACAACCATGTGACCATTAACTTCATCTGGGTTGATCCGATTCTGCAGAGCTATTTGATATGTGTTACCTTCGAAGAGAAAGTTTTCTGCAAATTTGTCAGCAATAATGTCGAGAGATGGAGTGGTGAGGACGCCCTCTACACCATTAGTAGATGACGATGCACCACTGTTTCCGAAAGGGATATTGCTGTTCGTCATCTTTGAACCATGGTAGCTTACAGGCCATTCGTTAGGTGTAGAGTGTGTTCGATGTCCTAGATCTCCGAGCCAGATATCATCTTCGTATTGACCCTTAACTTTGATCCCATGCCTAAAAAACCCGCATGGACGCTGATATGGATGTCCGCCTCTGATGAATTCAGTGTCACCATCATCCAGCTTGGTGAAATCATAATTAAACCGCCGGTCAAGAAGCGATTCGTCCATTTCATACACTACCGCCCTTGCGGCTTCTCCAAAAGAATGCACGTGGACAACTGAGCCATGTCCGATTCCTTCTTGGCCGATAGGATTCTCATCTTCAATTCGACATGATCTGTGAATCAATTGCAGATAATCCTCGGGAAGATGGGCATTTAGGGCTATTAGTCGACGCAAATCGGACACTGTGGCATCGCTCGAGATACCCAATATATCTGTTGAGCCGCCAGTACTCTTTAAAAGGACATCGATTTCTTCAACTCCAGCACCATGATCTCTTCTGCTGACGCTCATCAAGGAAGGATTTGTAAAGTGAAATAAATCAGGAATTGTCAATTTCTTTACCAACGGATGACCGGGCAGTTTAGCGCATTCTTCTGCAAGTAAAACCCTGACTCCTAGGCAGGCACTGATTCCAGCTGCTACGAGTTTTTTTGAAGACAAATTTGGTTCTTTTGGCTGTGAATGGATTATTAAACAACATTTTTAAGGACAATAATGATAGGTGTATTTACAAATAATAACATAACATTTACTGTAGCTAAAAATAATGTTTAATAATAATAATTAAATTATTAAAACAATAAATGAAGGCTAAATAATAGTTATACTATAACAAAATAATAATGTTGATAATGGTTAATAATCATTATATGTATTAATTGGTATATATAATATAATTGGTATAATATG